CTTCATATTGGAAAGAAGCTGTTCATAGTGAAATTGAATTCATACTACAAAATCATACTTGGAAATTAGTAGACCTCCCTCCCGATAATAAGTCTTTGGGATGCAAATGGATTTTTAAAAGGAAAATGAAAGCAGATGGATCAATTGACAAATATAAAGCAAGACTTATCGCTAAATGCTACAAATAAAAAAGAAGGTCTTGATTATTTCGATACCTATTCTCCTGTGACAAGAATCACATTCATATGTATGCTTATTGCAATAACAACATTGAATGATTTGGATATACATCAAATGGATGTTAAAACGGTATTTTTGAATGGGGAATTAGATGAAGAAATTTATATGGAGCAACCTGAAGAATTTGTGGCCTCGGGACAAGAAAAGAAAGTGTGTCGACTTGTTAAATCACTATATGGATTAAAGCAAGCTCCTAAAAAATGACATGAAAAATTTAACACGGTTATGATATCAAATGGTTTCAAAATTAACGAGTGTGACAAATGTGTTTATGTCAGGAACACTCCAAATGGATATGTTATGGTATGTTTATATGTAGATGACATGTTGATTATGGGTAACAATAATACCATAATTCAAACTACAAAAAGGATGCTAACAAGTAAATTTGAAATGAAGAATTTAGGTGTGGCCGATGTTATATTAAGAATTAAAATTTCTAAAATATTTGATGGTCTCATATTGTCTCAATCACACTACATTGAGAAGATTCTTGATAAATTCAAGAAATATAATATTATTCCTATGAAAACACCTATGGATGTTAGTATGCATTTTGTTTCCAATATCGGTGATAGTAAGTCTCAATTGGAATACTCTTGTATTATTGGCAGTTTAATGTATGTCATGAATTGCACTTGACCTGATATTGCCTATTCAATTATTAGGCTAAGTCAATATACAAGTAATCCAAGCACTGATAATTGGAAGACTATTGTTAGAGTTTTAGGGTATTTAAAACATACCCAAAATTTTGGATTGCACTATTCGTGATATCCAGCAGTACTTGAAAGATACTGTGATGCAAATTGAATATCAGATACTAAAGTCTCCAAATCAACAAGTGGATATGTCTTTACACTTGAGGGTGCTGCAATATCATGGAAATTTTCAAAACAGACATGTATAGCTAGATCAATAATGGAATCTGAATTCATTGCATTAGACAAAGCCGGAGAAGAAGTCGAATGGCTACGAAACTTTCTAGAAGATATTCCATGTTGGACAAAACCTGTGCCTGCTATATGTATCCATTGCGATAGTCAATCAGCAATTGGTATGGCACAAAATGCAATGTACAACGGTAAATCTCGACATATACGTTGTAGACACAATACTGTTAGACAATTACTCTCTACAGGCATTATCTCTATAGAGTATGTGAAATCAAAAGAGAATATTGCGGATTCGTTAACTAAAAGTTTAACAAGAGAGCAAGTCGAAAGTTCATCAAAGGGGATGGCATTAAAACTAATAAAATAATCAAAAGTTTCCATGGTGAAAACCCAACCTAGTTGACTGGAGATCCCAAGATCTAGGTTCAATGGGACAACCGAACTGTGAAAAATTTAGTATGCACTAGGAAGATTTTACTTCTACCCATTCCTATGATGAGTCAGTGCCCAGTTGCCGCGAAATAGGTTAAGATACGCTTTTAGTGATTTCTATATCTTGATTCGTTTAAGTGGAGTATAGCAGAATACTCTTTATGAAAATCACCTATGTGAGTGAGAAGAGGGGCCGCTTATAAGAGAATTAGGTGAAGATGAATTCTCTAAAAACCACTCATGAACTAAGAGGTGTTCAAGGCCAAAATGGACACAAACGTGAGAACCAACTGTGTTCGAAGAAAACTGTGTGACTTCTATTGTTTAGTTTTTCATAAATGACTGACTGTTCAAAGCAACTTGCTACTAATTGACTAAGAAAATTCGATAGATTTTACTAGGGAAAGTTCAAAGTCATTGATTACTTATCCCGAGTCCGAGTCCGGTTCGGTGTGTGCGGGTGGACCTTTGCACTATATTAACTTTTTGGACAAAATTTATTTAAAATTTTGGGCCAAATTGTAAATAATCAAATTCTTGGGTACATTATAGAATTTAAATTTTGGCTTATTCCGGGTGTTTTATTTTCTTTTAACAGTCGTCTGTTTACTGACCAAATAATCGACTGTTAACTAACTTAATAGACGCGACTTTTAAAAACAGCATGTCTGTTCGGATTTTGAGGTTTGTCTGAAAGGTGATGACTGTTTGAACGGCCACGAACATGTCTATAAATAAATACACACCATTTTCATTGCAAACTTTTTGTTCTTTGAATCTCATTCCCTTCTCTCTCATTCTGATATTGTCTCGAAGTAAAACACACTTCGTTGAATTTGTTGGAACTCCTGCAGATTGCAGTGCTGCTTCCGTAGGAGACGAAAATTCGTTCTATTCTGGGAAACGATTGTTGGACGCCTTTAGCACCATTGAAGGCAACAAATTTGTTTTAAGGAAATATCGTGAAGTCGGTGAGCTCGAATTACTTTTTACATCCTATTGATCAATTCTTTACATTCAGGTGATTCTGTCGGATTGGTTTCGAAGGAATAACATCAAAGTCTAGAAACAACCGACTCTCCCCTTTTTGATTCTGCATGAAAGAACCGATGGCGAGGATATTATTTATCTTTGAGAATGCACGAATTTTGGATTAATTAAAAGACATCAATATTGCTTAGCTATAAAAGCTTGGTTTAAAGGCTACCGGGTCTCAAAAGCTTGTCCCCCCGCCCCCCCTCTTTGCTTTAAATGGCATAACTGGTTCCATCTCAACCAGCATATCATTTTTTCCCTTGTTAGATTGATCCCAGCAAAAAGAAGAGATAACCACTCTGAATCTATTTGATGTGGATTTTTTGATAAATATTTTGTGAAAAGTAATTTCATTTGAGAACGTGTAGTTAAAAAATAGAAAAAATTCTGGATCTACGTGTAAAATTATTTTATTGAAAGAACGCACGGTTGAAAATGAATTTGAAAAAAAATGAGTTTTAAAGTACAAAATTGGGGCTTAATCTCGTTAACCAAAAAGAGGGACTTAATAACTTTCAACAACACTACCAAAAAAGGCAACTATAGTTGCCCAATGATTTGATAATAGGTTAAGTTCAATCCCTTTGCTTTACGCTAGAATATGCCTTTCTTTTCTATTACTTATATTGTTTCTAAATGGCATCATAACTACACAAGAAAAGACGACCCTTGCGTTGCCGCAAAAGGGGATTGCTTTCTTCCAAAAAAATGTCACTTCCACCACCAGGGCCCAACAAGCGGGGAACTCTATTCTAAGACTATGTTTCATTTTAGCAGCAACAATATAAGGTCAAATATTCTTATTCCATCTTACGCAAACCAACTCCATCACGAGAGTAGTGGTGGTGTTGTTTGTATTACAATGACGAATAAATGTACAAAAATAATGAGCAAACAAGTTCACACGCTTTCTCAGAGTTTCTATTGAAACACGTGGGCATACTTGTTTTATTTAGGGCAATTGATCCGTAGCTCAAGTACGATCCATGCACCGTTTTCCTATATCATGACGAATCAATTGATTTAAAGCATACTGACATTATTTCTTATGTCCATCTCCCGATTTTTGCCCTCAAGTGGCTACTCGGTAACCATAGCGTAACCAAAGCACCATATTTTCGTTCATAGACAATTAAAGGCGATAGTATACTCAATCAAGACAAATTAAATTTAATACGAGCTCATGAAATTTGCCCATCCACCTTGCAAATAGGTACGCCTCGTAATTCCTAAACTCGCAAACACCGCTATTGAAGAAGTTAAAACTAAAACCCTTCAAAATTCAAGACTGGTCTTTCCTTCAAATATACGATCTCCCTCTCGGCACAAATTTGTTTCCAGAAAGCCCTAAAACTCTTTACCCCTCATATACATTAATTGAATTGCAATAGAAATGACGGATGATTCGAGAGATATCGAGAAGCTTTACGAGTATGGAGAGAAACTCAACGAAGCCAAAGACAAATCTCAAGTCAGTAATTTTTTTTTGTCTGATTCAGGAGTTTCTGCGCTTTTTAGAAGTTTTTTTTTTCTTTTTCTTTTTTATGACGTGTTCGATTTTGGGAGCAGAATAAGGGGGATTATGAGGGAATAATTGCGGCTGCAAATGGCAGCGTGAAGGCGAAGCAATTGGCTGCGCAGCTGATACCAAGGTTTTTCAAGTACTTCCCTGAGCTCTCGGAGCAAGCTCTCGACCAACATTTGTATCTGTGCGAGGATGAGGAACTTGGGGTTAGGAATCTATTCTCCATTTAATGCGTTTTATTTGTGTATTTCTTGATACTCTAATATGAAATTTACATAAGAGGAATTCTTTTACTAAATTGGCCTGCTATTTACTATTTGGATTTCGGGGTATTGGTTTATGTTCGACTTATTACGTGTTTAGTTTATTTACCAAGAGTAATTTATATGTAGAATAGATTGAAGTTATTATCTGATACAAGTGAGCAGAAAATGAGTTTGGGTCTTCATTATGTTATCTTTCACGAATTTTTTGTTTTTAAATTTTTTATTTACTTCCATAAAGGTGAAAGCTGGAAGGTTCAATAGTTCCATTATTATGTATTATGACATATCCGTTCCTACTGAATCGGGTGTCAGACATGATTCCTTCCCTTAACCTGTAAAATATTCTATTTTTTCTCTTTTAGAGCTCTTGGTATCAAAACTCTTCCTTTCTGAGCACATCTACTCCACCATTGGGTTGTGCTATGGGCTAGCGCGCCCCGAGACAAGCTAACCATAGTAAGACCTAATGCTTTAGCAATTGCGCAGAAGAAGAGTGGAAAATGAACGGAGAAGTTTGTGAATGAAAATGGCTTATGTTTAAAAAGAATGATGATATGCTTGCCGGGATGGAACTGGGGACTAATAATTGAAATTATAAAAATGTTTCATTCAATTTTGAATTGAATTGTTTATTGCAGGTTCAATTTTATAAACCTAATGCCGTGCTTTCAAACATGCCATGAGTGTGCTGGATTTTTTTTATTTTTTATTATTTATTTATTTTTTTCTCATTTTGGTTTTGAATGTAATCTACAATATTGCTTGCCCTTGTTTATTTCGCATTAGCTAGAGAGATGGAGAGGAGTTTCCTGCATAAGTTTAATGTTAAGCATGCTGCATCTGATTTAATGGGCTGTAAATAGTAAATCATATAGCCTTTCTTTACTGCCTCAAGCATTTATTTTATGACCATAAATTAAACAAGCACCCTAAAAGCAGAGCCATTTACTGTATGGCCTTTCTTCTAGCAATCCCCTAGTTGATATATCACAGAATGTAATAGAGTTCTCTTTGTATTCAAAAGAAGTTGATTAGCCAATATAATTTTGGGTGATGTACATGTTGGTTGACAGCTTGGGCTCTGCTTTCAAAATGCGGGTTGATGCATGTTCACATATATAGTGATGATAAATTAATCCATAGTAGGGAAGTCTACTAACTGTTTGTTTATGGTTAAAGGTGCGAGTACAAGCTATACGTGGACTTCCTCTTTTTTGCAAGGATACTCCAGAACATCTGGCTAAAATAGTTGACATCCTTGGTCAGCTCCTTGTAGCGGGTAATTTAGATTTTGATATCTGCATTTTGATTTGTAATAATTGAAGTTACTTGATTAGATAAAAATAACATCCTTTGTGATTTTAGGAGATAACGTGGAGCGTGACGCGGTGCATAAAGCCCTTATATCTTTATTGCGGCAGGATGTTAAAAGTAAGTTCCAGTGGTTGTAGCAAAGTTTTTTCATGCCACCTATTTTTTTTTTTTTTTCCTTTTTTATGGGAGCATCAGTGAAGGCTTCTGCTTTCCAAACTTCAACGTACTTCACAATTTTCTAAATTTGGTAGGTTTAGAAAATATTCTAGACTTAGGTTTTGCCCCCAAATTTTTACCAATACGAAATCTGGATCAACACACTTGTTTATATGTTATGGAACAAGATTTAAACATACTGCTTAATGTTTTTAACATTTTGCAACATCAAATGTAAGAATTTTCTGTCTAGCTATACTTGAAAAGGAAACAGGATCCTTACATGGATTTTTTTTTACTTCAGTGTATAATGGTCTTATGATGTTAAAGTTTATTGGTTTTTGAAAATGATGCGATAATTTGAATGCTAAGGTTTGAATAATTAGTGGTGTTCAGAAAATTGGCTTGATTAGTAGATAGATGTCATGGAATATAGAGAGCAAGATTATGTATGGGTTGTTTAGCATTCTATTAAGGATTATGCTGTTAAATAAAAAAGTCTCTTTCGTAATAAGAATAGCAAGCTTGTTTGGGACTTTATTCCAAGATGTATTGTTTGGTGTGTGTGGAGGGAGAAAAATAACCGTTGTTTTCATGATCATACATGGACAATAGAGCAGATTAAAGAATTATTTTATTTGACACTGTATACTTGGTTTAATGTTGCGACTTCTACTCGTATATACGGGTTGTCCAATTTTATGTTGTTTCTGTCTTGTATAAATTGATAATACAATTTCTGTGTATCATCCATGATTAATAAAATATTAGATTACCTATCAAAAAAAATAAAAATAAAAAAGTTTCTTGAGTGCTCCAAAAAGTTGTGGGATTTTAGAGAACTCATTTCTCATTTGATTGAAAGGAAAATAGTTTGATATGTATTCTCAGTATCATTTATAAAGAGGAAAGTGTACTTTTTTTTTAAATGAAGTAGAAAGACTTGTATGTCTTCTATATGGAAATATCGACCGTAAACATAACACTTGTGTCAATCCAGCTAGTTGCATAATCTAAATTGAGAACAATGGTGTAAGGCCATTTGATCACTCTGGAACCGAAATAAAAATACCAAAATGCATCTATATCGTAGTTCGTGATATGGGTTTGTATAATGCCCATACTGCACTTCTGTGGAATTCTTATTGTAGAAAACCTGCTATCATTTTATTTTCATTGAACTATTGCAGACCGTTCCTATATAGACTAAGTACTGCATTACGCATTGGGTTTGTGCATATGTTTGTAGACTGAAGCTGTTCAGTATGTTTGCTGCAGCTTCCTTAACAGCTTTATTTAAGCACATTGGAAGCACTGATGATCGAACTGCTGATGATGTTAGCACTTGGGAGACGATTCGTGAAAAGGTTCTCTGTTTTATTAGAGACAAGGTAAAGGGATGCTTAATCTTTATGATATTTTTTCATTGCAAAGAGCTCTTATGGCATGCATGAATTGTGAATGAGGACATTTTGCAGGTGTTTCCTCTTAAGGGAGAGCTACTAAAGCCACAGGACGAAATGGAGAGGCATTTAACTAATTTGATAAAGCAGGTATATCATGTTTAATATGGAGAATCGTAGTTCTAATGTTCTTTCTCTTTAATGGCTCATTCGTTTTGCCTAGTTGACTATCACTTTTCTTTATATATACATTTCTGATCTAAAAGCTCAACACTTGTTGAGTGACAGCTTGATGGCTCCCTCATTTTCCTGTTGCAGAATTTGCAAGATGTGACAGCAGTTGAATTTAAAATGTTTATCGACTTTTTAAAGAGCTTGAACTTATTTGGACAGAAGGCTCCTGTGGAACGTGTTGAAGAACTTGTTGAGATCATTGAAGGCCAGGCTGATCTTGATGCTCAGTTTGACGTATGTTCCTTTTCCAGTATGTTACTAGTGGGCATTTATTTGCCTTTTGTTATCTGTTTAGTTACTGCTGCTTTTGTAGACTTTTATTTTTACCTCCCATTTTCTCAAAGATAATTCTAGTTTTCAAGTTCAAGTATTCTTGCTTCATTACTGTTTAATTGCCCTAGCACGTATATTTTGCTGATCTTGCTTTGCAGAGTGAATTGTTATCACCTTTTTTCCAATTAAAATTTTAGTGAAATGTATTTGCTTTGAAATGTCTTATGTTTATTTTTTTCCTGGTGGGGGTACACTTTGATGTAATTTTATGAACCATTTCAAAGGTCAATTCAATTTTGGCTGAACGACTGGCCTCCAATTTTGTTATACCCTTCCTTAAAGAACACTGGTTCTTTTTGTAACAGCAGCAACTAGTTAGACCTACTCTACAAAATTTGGAGTTGACTTCACGCATCTTTTTTCACCACTATGTTGAATCATGCTTGCATCATCAAAGATCTACTAAGATTAGCCTTCTGCAATGACTATAGCTCTAAATTCTCTCTGTCTCTGTCTCTTTCTCTCTCTCACACACACACATTTGATTTGTACTGTGACATTGCTGTCTGAATTGAATTAACACCAATTTTGAGAATCTCTGTCGCACGAACACTCTAACTAGGGTAGTGTGTCCGTGTCCGACACGAGTCGAACACGTGTCGATACCGACACTTTTCGGACCTTTTACAATAATCATTTTTCTTTCTTACTATAGCTATTATATATTTTTAACTCAAAACTATTAGTAAATAACAAATAAGTATTTATATTTAAAAGATTTCAACAAGAAAAATCAATAATAAGTATAAAAATAAATTTATACCATATAAATGAAGAATTTTAAAGAATTTTATTAAAATGTCGATTACGTGTTGTGTCGTTACTTTTTTGAAAAATCACGAGTCGACGTATCTGACACGTATTGTGTCGGACACACGTGTCTGTATCGATTCATCATAGTTGAGAATGATTGAGTTGCATAAATAGCAATTTGTCAATGAAGCATATTTTGCTTCTTCTTGTGATGTTGCTGCTTCATATTGAAAAATTCATATTGCGGTTTTCTGATGAATGTTAAATCTCTTTCCCCTTCAGCTTCCTGAAGAGCAAAAATTAGACCTGCTTAAGAACCTTGCAGAATGTTCACTTTATGCAAGACCACAGGACGCAAGACAGATTCTTCCGTCAATTGTTCAACTTTTAAAGGTATTTCTTTGGAAGGAGATGGAAATGATGCTGTTTTCCATTTTACCTGCATATTATTAATTGTAATTCCTTCTCTGCTGATCCTTTTTCTTCAGTTATTGTATTAATCTATTCAAACATTCTATTATTGGGATAAATCAAACTGATAAACCTCTCTCTTCACAGCATGATTCTTCTTGCTTTTACTGGTTTTGATTTTATTTCTTCTATATTGCCTTCCATCTTGTTAATTTGTATATGTGAATCATTTTGTTCTTCAAACATATGATTTCTTTGCTTTCCTTGACTGCATTCATCTCTCTCTCTCTCTCACTCACACACAACCAAAAAAAAAATACGCACAACACTGTAGAGAACCTTTTTGCTCATACAAAATAATGCCACTCGGACATTTCTATTTACAGAACATGCTCATATTTTATCCTCTCTTATTCTTTAACTGGGCATTAATGTTTGGATATAATTTTTGGTAATGAATGAAAAAATCATTTCAAATTTACAGTATTCTTGTTCCATATGTAATGCTGTCAAAACTTCCTAACTAAGTCAACACAGCTCATTGATCTTGCGCTATACCAGCATGTCCCATGGTGACTACTGATGATTTGCACTCCTACATGGTGGCTATGAATTACTTAAATCTACAATTGGACTCTTGATTATACCATGTGTTATGATCTTTAGATTGATCTACGGAATTCTCTCACAAAACTCCCTTTCTGGCTTTTATCTAACAGAAATATATGGTTAGAAGGAAGCTTGAAGAGATAAACTTCGCATTTGTTGAGTGTCTGCTGTATTCTTTCCACCATTTAGCTCACAAGGTAAATGTGATATAAATTTTACCTGTCAGTATATTCTTGATGTGCTTCGAAGTTGACTTGGGATCTCTATGATTTATTTAGACTCCAAATGCCACAAATAGCCTGTGTGGCTACAAGATTGTCACAGGTCAGCCTTCAGACAGACTTGGAGAAGATTTTTCCGATTTATACAAGGACTTTACAGAGAGGTACTCTATGCACCAATTCCATAGTTGTATTTTGTGAATTTGACCCAGCTCTGGTGTGTAGGACAAATACGGTAAAAGACTGTTGAGGCTTAGAGAGAATTGCCGGGCTTTGTTGGATTAAAGTTATAGCATAGAAATGAGAAGAACATAATTGTTTTCAGCCACCTATGGACTCCTGGAACCCTTAGGCGTAATAGTTGGGTCTGGGCACCACAATACACCAGTCTTAGATATTGTGGAATTATAGGATATCGGCTGTAGCCTTAAATATTAGTTTTGACTAGTCATCATTCTACGCAATGATAAGTGGTAAATTATGTTTTCTGCGCTCAAGCTTTTCATCCTCAAATTCTGCTTTACATTGGTGTTCAGATTTCTGTGGTCGTGGTTATATTTATTAGATCAAGTTGGAACAGAGTTTTTTCTTGTTCCCTGGCTTATTTGCTTAACTCTTAGTTCCCGAGGCATGCATTTTCTATAATCAGGTGAAAATAGTTATGAGCATAGCAAAAATAACAAAATGGTTGGTTTCTTTTACTTTCTTCCCCCATTTTTCCTACTGTCGTTTTTAAAGGAACTTTAACCTTGAACTTGACTTGGATCTACGATGAAACAGATTGAGCACTATGGAGGATTTAGCAAAGGCTATGAATAAGAAACTGACCCAAGGGATGGCTGAGCACAACAAAGCTATGGCAGCTGCTAAAACAGAAGAAGAAAAAAATGTCATTGTGGGTTCCCTTCCTAGTACTATTTTTGCCATCTCATAACAACTTTCCTGTGTCATATTATTAGGCAGAATGGACGTTGATTTGTCCATCTGCTTGCATTGATCTCACTTTTTATATTTTTCCTTAACCTGTAGAAGAAGCAGAAGCAGAATGCTACAACTGGTCTTCGAACCTGCAACAACATACTGGCCATGGCTCAGGTGAATTCTTTTGCTAATGGCTCAAAATTATTCGTAATGCATTATAGAAAAATATGTTTCTATGCTAGACTATATTTTATTGGTTTTTTTAAGTTCAAAGATTTTGTTTCATTTATATTGTTATTTTATTTAGAGTATGAATGAAATAATGAAGAAATTTATCTTTTCAAGTCTTATCAAATCTTCTTTGTTCTTGCATCTGCTATTCAGCCATTGCATGCAAAAACGCCATCATTTATTGGGGATCAGAAAATTAGCTTGTCATGGAAAGAAGTAACTAAATCGTCAACTCCATCAAGCACCACTGCTGCAGGGTAACTGAGACAAAGCACCTTCTGAAGTTTCCATTGCTACTATTCAGGTTTCTGTGTTAACATTCTCGGTTTGCCTTTGCAGTCAAAAACGAAGTGCTGCTACTAATTTATCTGGCGCCAATGCATCCAAAAGGGGTAGGGGAATGGGAGGTGTACAAAACCAACTTCTTAACAAGGCATTTGAAGGTTTAAATGGTGGCCGAGGTGGTGGAAGGGGTGGTGGAAGAACTGGTGGGAGAGGTGGCGGATGGTGGGGTCGTGGTAGAGGAAGGAGTTATCGCTAAAACTGGTCTCGTTTACTGTATAATTCGCAGAATATACTGATGCACATGAGATTGTTGTAACTTTTAAGTTTATTTTCTCACCTAGTACTGTTCATTCGTAACTTGCATTCGATCAGTTCTCAGTTCTAACTAGCTCTCTCATTAGATATTATTTTTCTTGGAAAGCCTTTTCATTTAAAGAAATTTTACAAATTTATGGAGTTTGCTTCTATTTTTCTTAATATTTTTTTCCCATGGAATGATGGATGGGTGGGATCGTGGTCGTCCCTTTTTGGGGAATTTAATCATATCACTAAATGGAAAAAAAAAAAAAAAAAAAAAACAAGTGGGGTCTCCTTGTCTTGTCCCACCTCCAATAATGCCACTTTTTTCTTCCAATTAGGTTAAGCCCCTATCTAGCTGGGATTAAAATTAAAATTTTTAGTAAATTTCGGTAAAAGTTAATGAAATGTATGATTGAAGAGTTATAGGTTTTATGAAATATGTGGTTAAAATTAATTTTTGACTTTGATTTAGATTAAAATTTTAATTTTAAACCAGATATGAATTAAGTAGACTTTCACGCTATAGCCAATCTTGCACGGATGCTAGATTATTAGGGGATTGTAATTGACATTAGAAATGTTGTAACTATGATTGAAGAGCGAGAGTACTTTTGAAGGAATTAGGTTAGAATCCTTGTAGGGAGTACCTTCGATCAAGAGCCGACTTTTTTCGAGTTAATTGTTCCAATGGTCATTGAACTTAGGCCTATGTCTTTGATTGGCCATTGAAGTTTAAAATGTTGAGTTTTGGCTACTGAAATTTGAAAAATGTAAAGTTTTGGTTACTGAAATTAGGTTCATTTCTGTGATTGGTCACTGATGTTTAAAATGTCAAGTTTTGATCATTGAACTTAGGTTAATGTCTTCGATTGCTTACTGAACTTAGATCCATGTCTTAGAATGCTCATTGAAATTTAAAATGTCGAATTTTGATCATTGAACTTTGGAATATGTCATACGTTACTTACTAGCATAACTGTTAACTTTTGAAAAATATCGAATTTACATTGAATAATGTATAACATTATTCAAAGTTCAGTGAATAATGTACAATATTTTTCAAGATTCAGTAAATAATGTACAACATTTTTCAAAGTTCAGTGGTCAAAACTCGACATTTTAAATTTCAGTGAGCAATCAAAGACATGGACCTAAGTTTATTGACCAAAACTCTACATTTTACAAAGTTCAGTGGCCAAAACTCAACATTTTAAACTCTAGTGGCCAATCAAAGACATAAACTTAAGTTTAGTGACCAAAACTCGACATTTTAAAGTTTAGTGGCCAATTAAAGATATGGACCTAAATTCAGTGACCATTGTAACAATTAACTCACTTTTTCCTCCATTACACATGAATGCATCTTTGGCGCCATATGTTACCCATAATTGCATATCGATCAAAGATACTTTGTATAATCAAATGAGTGATACAAATCTTTTTAACTTCACATTTGCTTTAGGCTCGAAAGCATGTTTACGCAACTCAACAAATATTTGGTATTCGTAACTGTTTAATGTAGATTTAAACATTTTTAAAAAGAATGTTATTTATCTAGAGTGATGATGATTACTAGTTTATATGATTGTGGAATTATTGTCAAATAGATTCATGATGAACACTAATAATGACAAATAGCTCAAGTCGACAAGCCATTTTGCAAATGAAAACAATAATAAATGTAATTGGGATATCTTCGTGATGACACAAGACTTTGAACTTTTCACTAATCATTATTAGTGTCTTTTAACTACTTAGATAACTAACAAAATAAAACATAAATGGTACGTACTGGTTATGAATCATAGAAGCTACCAAGAAAGAAGCCTATCTATGATGTGGAGTTAAGCCCCATGTATGGGGAATTTTGTCAGGGAGACAAGTGGGGTCTGAGCATTGGTTGGGATGAAATTGTTTTTTGTTTGAGGTTCAATGAATGCGTGCTACCTATCTCTATATTACATTCTGACAATTCTTCTTGTACATATACACCTTAATGCATTACGTTAATCTTGTTTATTCATGTCCAGTCTATAAGCTTTCTATTGTTTTGGTTCTGAAAAATGATTCTTTACAGACTTGATGAATTGATTGTAAAGAAAGTACGTCACAATCGACTTGATCAAGAACGCGTCTGGCCTGAAAAAAATTTCTAGCACACTCAAAGTATAGGTACTTGATACTTTCTGTCCTGATTTATAAACATGTCAATATCAATTAAGGGTGTGTTTGATAGCCTCACATTTTCCATGGATTTTCCAACTTTTGTAGTGTTTGATATGTGAAATTTTCCATGGAAAACGAATTCCACCTTTCTTGTTCACATTAGCATTTTCCATCAAATCCTTAAATTGGAATTATTCCAATTCTTGCTATTTGGCAGTGAAAACAAATTCTAAGAATTATTGTAAATAAATATTTCTCTTTAATTGACAATTTTCATGTAAAATAAAGTCAAACGAATACCAAAAGATAAATGATTTTTTTTTTTGGCAATGGAAACAAATTTCATCCCCAATACCAATAAATTCTTTTTTTATTGACAATTTTCATGCAAAATAAAGTCAAACGAACACTAAAAAATACTTTTATTTCAACATTTTCTAAGTGAAAATTTATACCAATCAAACATAATTATTTACAATTCCTAGGAAAACAATTTCTAAGCAATTTAATTCTTTGAAATTTATTTTCTTTCCACCCAAATTCTATATTTGCAGTCAAATGGACCATAAATGGTGATTGAAAGTACTAAGTTCTATACTAGAAATTTTCTCACCCCGACACAAAAACGAAGAAAAAGGTCGGCGATGATCAATGATCCTTCAAAGGATATGTTCATCTTAATGGTGAATAATGAACTAGTACACATTAACTCTAATGGATGTAATGCACGGGATCTAACCCTAAAAAAAATGAATCTTTGATTCCCCAGTTATTAAACTACTGTTACTTTCTCAATGAAAACGTTGGATTTAGATGACCCCTCTTCTCGAACAGCTGTAGCTAGCTGTCCTGATCATCCATCCAATGAGACCCACCACGCCCACCCCACCCGCTTCCCTTCAAAACTCCTGGGCCTTAAAAATAAGAACACTGCCCTTCAATCTTGATGATACCATACACACACTTAATTCAATTTTTGTCTAAGAAATTCATCGTTCAAGATTTTCTTGATTTTGATATCTAAGGTTGGTTTAGGTATAATTGAGTTAGTTATAGTTTGTTCGTTCAAGAATGAGATCAAGGCCTAGCTCAAGAAGTAAGTATCAAGTTTGATCTGAGTTCGAGTCTTGTTTAGCGTATCCAATGAAAAAAAATTTATTTCAAAATGTAAAGGGTTTTGAGATGCTATTTTCTAATTTTGACTAATAAAGGTAACTGTTTCAAAATGTAAAGGATTTTGAACATATTTACATATGTGGAAAAAGATTGTAGGGTGAAATTCGGAAAAAAAAAAAAAAGAAAAAAAAAAGGAAAAAAAAGGTTAGTTCAAGAAGATTTGAGGGTTGTTATTGCATGGAGCAATTACCACCAAAAGTCTCATCCATGGCACACAATTGGCCTTCATTTTCATTTTAAATGATGCCACTTCATACTCAGCAAAATTCATGGGTTGATGAATTCCTCGACTACTACGCGATGCGGTGGAGAATGCACCAGAGGACGACGAGTGACCCTGTCACGTTTGTGGAAGTGCTGCCATTCATCAAAGAGTTGGGTAATAATAATTGTTTTGAGAGAATGGATGATGAGCAGTTGAGAGACATGTTTTCCGATTATATGGCGGATACGGGGCCAATGACGAGGTCATCGACTAATCCTTTGTCGCCATCTGAGCAAAATGGTGAAAACATTGAGAAAAAAACGGTGGCAGAGGTAGACGTGGGGTGGAGGTGGAGGTGGAGGCGGAGTGTTAAGATTTGAGGTCCATCTTATAAAGATCAACCTTGTTAAGAGTAGTGGCCTAAAATCTATTTAAGTTGATCAATATTTCAGTATTTAATTGCCCCCGTAAGATCGTGGCTCTTTTTGAGCAAACTAATCTTAAAATCCGTGTGTTCATTTTTCAGACTAATAATCGGATCGAATCTCTCGTTGGAATTTAATGGACTCTAATACCATATTAAGATTTGGAGTCCATCTTAATAAGGTCAACCTTGTTAAGATGAGTGACCCAAAATCTATTTAAATTGGTCAAGATTTCGGTATTTAACTGATGTGGGATTTATTCCCTTAACATACCCCTACAAGATGGTAGCTCTTTTTTAGCAAATTAATCTTGAAATCTGTGTGCTCATTTTTTAGGCTTAATCGGATCGAATAACTCGTTGGAACTTATTGGGCTCTGATACCATGTTAAGATTTGAAATCCATCTTAATAATGTCAACTTTATTAAGATGAACCCTAAGTCTTAACATGGTATCAAAGACAATCCATGAATTTCAAGATTGGTGTGATCAAGTGAGCCACCATCTTGAGGGGGCCTGTTAAGTCATTATATCCCACATCAAATGATGATGAAAATAAATATCAATTTATAAAGGATTAAACTTTTTCACTTAATAAGGTTGACCTTATTACGATGAACCCCAAACTTTAACATGGTATCAAAGCCACCCATGAATTTCAAGATTAGTCTGCTTAAATGAGCCACCATCTTGAGGGGACCTATTAAGAGATGTGTTATCTCACATCGGTTTAATATCGAAATAAATATCAATTTATAAAGATCTTGGACTTCTTCACTTAATAAGGTTGACCTTATTAAGATGGACCTCAATTCTTAACAAATGAGCATACAGATTTCAAGATTAATCTGCTCAAAAAGAGCTACCATCTTGCGGGGCATGTTAAGGAAATAAATTTCACATTGGTTAAATACCGAAATATTAACCAACTTAAATAGAATTTGGGCCACTCCTCTTAACAAGGTTGACCTTATTAAGATGGACTTCAAATCTTAACATGGTATCAGAGTCCATTAAATTCCAATGAGCTATTCGATCCGATTAAGTCTAAAAAATGAGCACACGAATTTCAAGATTGGTCTGATCAAAAAGAGCCACCATTTTGCGGGGGCGTGTTAAGGGAATAGATCTCACATCGATTAAATACCGAAATATTGATCAACTTAAATAGATCTTGGACCACTCCTCTTAATAAGGGTAACATTTTAAGATGGAATTTCAAGTCTTAAAACGGAGTGCCACCGTGTGCAGCCAAAGAATGAGCCTGGTGAGGTGAATAGTTCGTGCAAATCATTAGTGGAAACGCAACCTCCTGCCAAATCTTTTGATGGTGCTTCTGGGGATACCATTGCTGATCCAAAGAGGATCAAAAGGTAAAATTGTTATCTGTAATATATTTTGCAGATTGCTCAAACTTTCGTACTCCCTCTATCCCAATTATATAGATTTGTAGTAAATCATTCTTGAAATTAGTAAATAATTTGAATTATTTAATTTGAAAAAGAAAAAATGAGAGTTGTTCTCTGTTTCCAAAAAATGGGAAATGTGTGTTTTTTGGATGATTTCATGAAGTTGACATATTAAATGTGGAAAATTGAATAAAGATATATTAGTAAAGGAACAAAACAAAATATTTTAAATTAGGAAACAATCTTATATATTTGAGACAAGAAAAAAATGAAACTCAACTATATAATTGAGACGGAGGAATATTATGGTTGAGGAAAATTTACCAAAAACTACATTTTCTACTCTTGGAATTGAGGATGTTTTTGGTCTGTCCAATGTGTCAATTTCTCTCTCTTAATTTTGGCATAACTCAATCCAACATTATTACTTTAATGCAAATGCAGAAATTTATTTTATTTTTTCCTAATTTATTCATGTTAATTACTAGAAATTTAGCCAATCGTCAATCAGATCAAAGATCAAGAGTGAGGAAATTACAATACATTTCTGAGCTTGAAAAAAGTGTAACAACGTTGCAGGTATGCATGCTTTTCTTTAATTTATATTCGTACTCGACAATATTAAAAAATAAAAATAAGTTAAAAATGATTTATAATCGTACTCTATACTTTATTTCACTTTTGTGCAGTGCTAATTATTGAATTAATGCAGAGTGAAGTATTATCTTTGTCACCCAGTGTTGCATTCTTGGATCATCAAAGGCAGCTTCTCAATGTTGATAATAGTGCTCTTAAGTAGTGGATTGCAGCATTGACTCAAGATAAAATTTTCAAAGATGGTATGGGCTATAACTGCGAATTAATTATTGTAGAAATTTATTTATTTGTTGTTCAAAATCAAGAAAAAAAATGGCTTAACCATGCAACCGCATGGATTAAGCCCATGCGGTCGCATGAGGCCCTCTCGAGAATGGGAGGACTGCCTATAGCCCATGCGGTTGCATGATTATCAAAAAACAAACTGTTAGTTTTTTGACCCTTTTTTAATTCAAATTTGGTTACTTTTCACTTGTTTCTTGCACCGTTTCATGGGAGGCCTATAAATAGGTGATCCAAGTTCAAGAAAATTCATTGAGTTCCATTGAAATTTATCTCCAAATTATACTTTCAATATTGAGAAAATTTATCACATAATCTTTCCATTTTTCACTTGTTCATTATGAAGATACACCTTTGCTTTTTGGTGTTTTTCTTATCAATGCTCGTTTAATCCTACAAACTATTTGCCAGAAATCCTTAAAAAGCATTGGAAATGAGGCAAATAACATTTGAGGACAGCGAGATTAATTTCGTGTTCTAGTCTTCGTTGATATACTTCTATAATTTTCTTCTCCATTGCCATTAATTTCTCAACAATTATTACTTTTCTTTTCTTGTTTTTTTTGCAAATTGGATTCCGACAGATTATGAAATTTCTGATAATTAAAGGTTATGTGTTTTTCAAGTCATGGTGAAATACATAACATTTACTTGCTCTAATCTCATGTTGATCCATCTTATTTATAGAGAAGAAATGTACAATTCTGATGAATTGAATGTTGAACATCTTTGTTTTCACATGTAATTTCAATGTTCTTACACTTTTGGTGCTCAATATTTCTGTCTTAATTAGGGAAAAAATATCCTATATAGTGACAATTGATATATTTTGAAATTACTTAACTTGGACATAAAGAAATCACCGGCAAGTTAGGCTAGCTTAAAAGTTACTTAAACTTATTCTTCCCTTCAAACATGTCTGTAAATGTTACTTTTTTTCTTACAAATCATTTTGATATTAATTCCTCATTGAATAGTGCTTTTATCCCCACTCTAATTCATCATCGGCCCTGTGTGGCAACCGGGATGATAAGTAGTTTTATACAGTTTTATACTTACTTTCTACTTTAACCTAAAAAACTGAATATATTAATGACAAACCATCAGGAAGCATTGAAGAAGGAGATTGAAATATTGAGAAAAATATATCATGAGCAAAACATAAAGAAGATAGGAGATAAAGCCACCGCGGAAGCACCACCACAGCCACCTTCTAACCTGCATGTTCTATAAGATCACGTGATGTGTCTATCTTTCTTTCTAATCTAACATGTTCTGTTCCATGATTTAATAGTATTGCCACTTGAGTTGGGTAGGGTTTCATTCTCAGGAAATGATATCAAGAAAGGTAAAAGGAGAAATAAGAACTTTTGGCTCCATGCTGCCTGTTTAGAATTTGTTACATTCACTGTTTGTTTTGTATTTAGGTTTAAGAAAGTAAATGTTGGAGGCTTATAATTGGATTATGTAATTATGAGATTTTTGTGTTGGGATGTATGCTGTCAGGATAACTTTTAATTGTATTTATTGTCTCATTGGTTTAACCTATCTTGTATTCTTGAGTATTTTGGTTACAAGTTGCTGTATATACATGCAAGTCTTTTGATTTGTTCTTAAATTAAGAAATGTAAATATTAAATTACGACGAAAGTGAATGACTAATCACACTTCAAAGTCGAAAGGTGTATTCATATGTAAGGCACCTTAGCACAAACAAACATAAAGCTCTCAGTGATCGACCTCTTTTAACGACACACCATTAATATGTTGTACATATATTTAGTATTTACAGTCCACAACAAATTATACGAACAGCTAATTTACGTATCATAAAGCGATCTGCTGAGGATGTCAATTCCATCCGATAACTAGATTTAATCTGCAAGTGCGCGTTAATCTTGATTCATTTTCTTCATCAATCATATGTAAACATCATTAATCTAGACTTGTGACCGTGAATGCAAATTGTTTGGAGCAATCCAGGGATTTTTATCAGCAACATCACTTACTTCTGTTGATAGTCGGTTTCTGCGATATCCCAACTTGTTCAAAACCATCACTATCTTAATCCAAATCCTTTTATATTGAGCCATGGAATTCTTGAATCTGTCGGTGGCCCGAAAATAGTAGATTAAAAGTGCTGTTGTTGATGTCCCTCCTGTAAATATGAACAGCACGAAAAAGTTGTTAGGGCTAAGACTTGCAGTTTCGTTGTCAGATTGAATGTCTACACATTCCTCAGATTTTATTAATCTCTCCTCCAAATCTTTCAGCACTCCATTTTCAAGAACATTCAGTAATGCTTCGTCTATTTCAGGAAGTAAAAGAGATCCCTTTGGAAATGCCTGAGATGATGAAATCAATAGAAAATACTGTCATCAGTTTCATCTAGTCAAATGAGAAGATAAGTCGAAGATGAAAATTTAAGTGAATACACGTTCCCTCTCTATCCGTTTAAGATGGTGGTATTTTGCACATGTAAGAATATTGATAAAAAAAAAAAATATATATATATATATATATATATATGAATCAGACCTACACGTGAACAAGTGTGTTCCCTCTTCAACAGTAGAAAATTTTAGACGAGGGGTTCATAAGAGAAAGAGAAATTACAAATCCATATCCTCCAACTTGGTAAGCAGGACCAGCAATGGTGAAGCTCTTGCAATATTTGGCAACAAAAAGTTTAGCCACAGGAGCTTCAAGAAAGGCTGCTGCAATTGCACCACTTCTGAGAGCCTTTGCGTACTCGTCTTCTGTTGCAAAACTCCTGATGTTGTTTGATTTAAAGCCTAAAGGACCCTCCAAATATCCCTCGACAAAGGATTTCTGCGAGTAGCCAATCATCGCGTTTTTGCTCTTTATTGTCTCAATATTTGCTACTTTTGGTACAAGATTTTGCACTGTGAGCATGCTGGTAAGGCTTGCTGTATAACTTTGCGTGATGATCAGAGCCACAAAAAGCCATACCACCATTGCCATACGTGACAAATTGCTATGTAATTTTTCAGCTGTCAACAAATTAAACTGGAAAGCATCAACAAATTTTCATTCAAATCATATTTTCGATCATCTTGTGTGTATATGTTACCGTGTAATGAGAACAGTGTGGCAAAAGCCAACCAAAGTAGAGTGCCTATTTGGTTCAGAACTGGTCCTTTCAATTCAGAGCAGTAACTTCGCTCAATACTCCATACGACAAATCCATTAAAGACATTAATGAATAATGTGAGCAACCACATGTCTCTTGTGAATGGCTTCACAAACAGCCAAGTTGTGCTTGAATGTGATACTAGTATTGGCACTACCATTACCAGTCCTGACTCGGTATAAGGGTACGTGAAGTCTACGTATTCACATCGACTTGAAGTTATCGCAATGTCACCAACTGCTGCATCAAATTCCTGCTCAAACAATTGAGAATCGTGTCAGCATCGGATTAACTCAAAGCAAAATATCACTATGAGAATATATAATGTCTTACCCTCGATTGAACTTTCTTTACCAAATCAGTGTAGTTCCCTTCAAAAGGAACGAATTTATATTGTAAAGAGTACTTCAAATGCTTTGCAGTTTCATTGAACACATCCACAGAAAATCCAGAAAAATTGTACTGATTTGTAGAAGGATCATAATCAACTTCCACAAATTTGTTTGTCAAGGATCCATTGGGAACTCCAATTCTCAAAGGATTTTCAATTGTTGGAAGATCCCATCCTCTTGGAGCACACCATGGATCTCCAGGCCAAATAACATGCCCTAAACTCTCCATGGAAGAATTATACACTCCATCATCAATACTACTGGAGAATCCTTTGCCAGTCCAAAATCCCAGTTCTCTATAACCCTTTCCAATGATATTGATTATCTGAAATCGAGTCGCAGGCTCTAATTTTTGCTGTGTGAACTGGATTTTCCCACTTAATCCGTCGAAATCTGTTTTCAGAATACTTTCCAAAAGTTGCCGGCCACTGTTGACTTCGCCTTGATTCCATGCTAATCCCACTGTCCGCACGGCATCATAGGCCTGAAGCGCAAAAATCCCAGGCTCATGATGCCTTTCCTCGGGGTACTTCCTGCCGAATATTTGAAGAAATCTTGAGAAAAAACTACGAAAATCAGGTCCAGTCTCTAGAAAAGAGTCCCTCACTCCTACCACACCTTGCATGGAGGAAACTAAGGAAAAATTCATGGAATGCACCAAACTTGTAATAGAATCAGTGGTGATCCATACATATCCCTTATCCATCATCTTCATTTCCTTAGCCAATCCAAAAATACGTGTAGCAAGTGCTAAAGAAGTATGCACAACAAACACTCTATATTGCTCAGTTTTCAACTCTTCAAGTTTTTTTTGCAACAAAGAGGAATCAGCAAAAGAAGGGAGGGGTAAAAGATTGCTTATTTGGACATCAACTTCTTGTAGAGCACCATATAGATAAGGACTAATTCCATTTGCTGCAGAATCTGTGTCCTCGTAGATTACATTAGCCCGGTGCCAACCCCAGGATTGAATTATATTAGCCACTGCCTTCATTTGTGTATATGTGCTGGCCACAGCTTGAACGAGGAAAGGCCAACGCTCGGGTGCCCACGGCGGACTAGAGTCAGCAAATGATAGAATTGGAACATCATAGTGTTCACTAGCCTCAGCGACAGTGGATGTTTCCTCCCATGATCTTGGTCCAAGAATCAGTTGCACCTTGTTCTTGCTGATCAGATGTCTTGCTGCAAAGAAATTCGACAAAAGTTCTGAAATTTCTGTGGCCATTATTAAACTTAGGCGAGACTTCTATTGCTTGCATAAGGGCTTCTTGAAGAAGCTACTATAGATCGGCTTCCTCTAAAAGCTCTTTGAGCCCGACAAAGCATTCTCAGAAAATTATCCAATCATATTTAAAAGTGTTATCTTAACCTCAGAAGCAAATTTTAGCTTTTCAAAATCTCGGCCCTAAGTAATGGATGATTTATTTACCTGCAAGAGCGGCCTGTAAAGGTTTTTGTTGAGAACACTTCGATCGCAACTTAATAAATGTTTGATTTTGCTCCATATTGAAATCTTGAATGGCTATATCCATGGCTACTCTTTCTTCTTTGCCCACCCGCGTGTCACAATCCAATATGGCGCCGATTACTTGCTCGACTCCATTAATGCCTTCTGGTTTTAAGGCAAAGGTAATAAGAAAGAATAGGAGAAGAAAAAATGTTTTCATAATTGATAGTCTGAAGGTATACAAAAACATGTGCACTGTAACAATTTTATAGCTTCCAATATTATTGGATTGGGTTGAAGTCTCGATCTTAATAAGAGGGTGTTTGGTAGGAATTTTTATATGAAAATGCATTTTTGAATAGTAAATTGATGGAAAATGTGTGGTTGAAAAATAAGAAAAAGTTTTTGATTTACGTATAATATTATTTTAATAAAGAATGTGTGATTGAAAAGAAAAAAAAAATACATTTTAAAAAAAATGGGTGCCAAACGGGGCCTAAGTTAAATTAGAAATTTCCAGGTACAGGAGTGACAATGCAATTCTTTTGGCCGTGGTCAGATATTTTCTTGGGAGAACTCAAAAAATTGACCCAAGAAAAGTCATTTGCCACATATACTCTTTTCATGTCAGTTTGGTCACGCCAATTTCTGAAGTTGGTTGATTGATAAAATAATTACGTATGGTGTAAGCCACAAGAAATTTCTACTTGTTGAATATTTGTGGAAGTTTAGCTGTAAATAGAGTAAACAGTCTGTTCCCAACCGACAATAATAAATTTGAAATTGACTACTCATAACATTGTTTTAAAAATTAGTGAGATAGGTGAAAAATACAAAATTAATGAAGTGAAAGATTCTCCCCAAAAGAAAAAAAAAATAATAATAATAATAATAATGATAAACTAAAACTAAAACTAAAACTAAAGAAGGAATAAGAAGATGAACTCTGCTCAATCGACCGAGTTAGTTAATTGTCATGAAATTTCTGATACTTGTTTTTCTCGACAAGTCAACTCCAAAATAATGAAGAGTCTTGAAATTAATTAATTTCAAAGTTATTCACTAATCAGAGATTTGAAACTTTATCCCACAAGAAAAAATGCCTTTTATTTTTATTAATTATATGTCAATTATAAAAGATTTTAGATAAAGTCCGAATTTGGAGGTATTTGGAGCAAAAAATGAGAATTTTGTACTTAATTAGACTTGGTTTGGCGTCATTGAAGACCAAACAGATTTTACAGAATTGATAAGAAGCCTAGAGCTATTGGAGGAAAATTACAAGTTTGAAGAGGAGAAAGCTTTTGAAAGTTACATAATCAATATTGTATTTGGACGAAAAAGACCAAGCTCGGATGAAAAACTTGAGGTGGGACCAATATATAAAAAATAATAGTTGCAAGGGACCACAGTCTGCAAACTGCTGTCCCCAAGAACCGTCGGTTGCCACGGGTTGCAGTTTGGACCGTGAAAAAATTAAGTCCGCGGTTGGTTTACCGTTTTCGAGCCATTTTCTGTTTTCCGTTTTCGAAAACGTGAAAAACGCGTTTGGTCCATCGTTTTTGAAAACGCATTTTCAAAAACGAGTTAAATTTCATAATTGAAAACGCAAAATGACTTTTTATCGTTTTTAACGTTTTCAGTTATAAATGTCGAAAACGCGAAAAACGGGCCGTTTTCGAGGAAAACTAAAAATCATTTTGAAAATGATAATGGAAACCAACCGCACTCTAAGGGGGTGTTCTCTTTGTGTTTCAGTTTTGTGTTTTGAGTTTTGAATTCATTTTGAGTTTTGTGTTTTGAGTGTTTGTTTTGAAATTGTTGAAAATGCGTTCTTTTTGTTAGTTTCTCAAAACAAAAAAAAAATAAATTTTTTTTTTTAAAATTTTGAGAATCACCACAACACCCCCTCAAAACACCAAAAAAAAAAAAATTAATTTTTATTTATTTTTTTTTTAATTTTGAGAATCACCATACTATCTCCTCAAAAAAAAAAAATTTTAATTTTTAATTTTTTTTTTGAAACTTTGAGAATCACCACACCACCTCCTCAAAAAAACAATAAAATTTTAAAAACCCCCCCCCCCCCCCCAAAAAAAAAAAAAAAAAAAAAAAAAAAAAAAAAAAAGTGTTTCCCGCGTTTTCAATTTTTTCAAGTTTTACACTGAAAACGTCCAAAACGACAAAAAAGTCGTTTTGTGTTTTCTTCACAAATTTTTTTTTGTTTTCGAAAATTCGTTTTCGAAAACGGGAAAGAGAACACGTTTTCACCGTTTTGAAAAATCGAAAACAGAAAACGACCCGAAAACGGTAAAGAGAACAGGGCCTAAGTTTTTAAAGTTATTTCTTAAGGGTTTTTGCGGGATTTTTGAGACATGACTATCAGGCAAGACGAGCTTGTAAAAATCTGTTCTGGTTAAAAGGAGGGGAGAGACAATATAAAATTAGAAGAGAAAAAGGAGTAGAGATGGCAAAATAACCCGTCTCGCCCCATCCCAATGGGTTGGCATTGGCCCAAACCCACCGCATATATATATATTATTTGCTTTGGATTTTTAAATTTTGAATTTATATTTTATTCTTCAATGATAGTATAACTTTAAAATTTTGTCCTGCTCCACCGCCATCTCTAAAAAGGAGAGTAAATACAAGGAAGAAAGGATTCATTCAAGGAGTTGGATATTTGGTGCAAAATCATCATCTTTCATTCGTTTTCCCTTTAAACTTAGTTATGCATTTCAAGTCTTCCCTTTATTTTTCTTCTTCCATGATGTATAACAAAATGAAAAGACGAACAATGTAAACTAATTTTAAACCCTAAATTTAATTATTATACTTTGGTACTAGTTATGTTTGTGTTTTATTTTTACTTCTTTTCTTCAAGATTTGAATTACTTGATCACGAACTCATTTGTGAACCGTAACGAACCACAAGAAGTAAGTTATTCTTTAGACCAGATATTAAAATTGGGATTTGGATAGAATGTAGAGATATATTTTTACTAATTTTGCGATCTTTAATTGAATTGTTTAGTGATTGAATGCTCTTGATTAAGGCTTATTCTCATTCACATAGAGCTATAGAGATTTGACTTAATTAAGTAGGATTGGTTGCCATTTGAGAATGGTAAATCAATTAATATAGAAGACATAATTGATTGTTGTCGAAATTTAGTGCTTGAAATTAAATGGATAGTTATGATGAGCTCGTGACCATTAAAACCTTTTGTATATCAATTAATACCCTAAATTTTCTACTTGCACACTTTTTAATTATTTTTCGTATATTTATAATTCTTAGAATTATTAATTAAAATTACTTTGAATTGTTTTTACTAAAATAGAAGTCAGGCTTAGTTAATTCAATAATTGGGTAAATAATTCTCATGCGAACAATAATCAAAATTCTTAAATTCACTTTACTACTTATTTAATTAACATCGCACAAATTTACACTAACTTGTTTTAGTGATCAGCATCTGTATTTAACAACTATATTGACCATTTGATATTGACTGGAAGACCATGAATCTTATATTGATTAAGATGATAATCAAACCGTTAAATTAATACTTTAAGAATCATATTTCTTTATTAATTATAATTTATTATTGTCTTGATTCTTTTAATTTCACCAAATAATTTTAATATTCTTCTTTGCGTTGAATGCTTGTCACTGACGTCTTTTACGTAATTTTTTGTAGGGACTAATAATATATTAATCAAAGTATTCTTCTTGTTTAATTTCTAAGAGATATATTTATTTGTAGTTTGCTCCAACAATTATTACTTCAAAATTCTTGTTAGGTTGAGTTTGTAAATATTTTCACAGGTAAAAGATTTTTTTGGATGAGTAGAATGCTCCTTCAACGTCTTTGACCTTTTAGCACAATATATAATCAACACATTTTGCTCCTCGGGGCATAGGTTAGTGGTGCAACGAACAAGAGTGAGGTTATCTCACACCTTGCTGACAGTCACAGTATAGGGATTCGATTTCTGAAACATGAAATTTGACTCCTTGTAGGCGCAGTATACATGCAGTTCTTGTTCCCTGACATGTTAAGGAACATCCCGTGATTTACCTTCCTCACAAAACTCTAGGAGCGGGACGGTGGGGCCCATCAAGATTGGGGGTTCAACCTTTTTTAATAAACACATTTTGCTTTTAACGTTGAAGCTCCATATTTATAGGGTTTAATTTGAATAGATCCACATTTACGTCGAACTCCCTTCTAAATTTAAAGACTGAATAGGTTCGTGGACATGCCAATATTTTTGGATGGTGGGTCCCACCCATTTGCGAATTCATGCCATATAAATAGACGGTAAGTATATATTTTGAGGGTTCTATCAAGAGTCTATTTGGCGTGAAAAAAAAAAAAAGAATAAAATTAAATAACGCATGATTAAAAATAAAATTTAAAGAATCAAATATCAAACAGGTTCTACTTTTGGATAGATAAATGGTTAAAATCATACATGGTACATATTTTGCTCCATGTGGATCGGGAATACTTTTTTTAATAAAAGCGAATACTATGATTCTTCATTTTGAATCGGTATTCTAAAAAGCGGAAGGCATAATTAGGCCTGGTAGGTCAAGTTTCAAACTTTACTAGCCTAAACCAACTTAGGCAAGTCCCAAGCATAAATTTTTTTAAAAAAATGGTTATCTTATTTTTAATATTATTTTAATCTTTTAATGATTTTAAAGTTATTTAATAATTATAATAATATGAACCTTACATATATTTACTTAATAATCTCTTAATTAGTCAATTATACAATGTTTAAGTTTTTGAAATGCAAAAAATTAGATTATATTTCATCGTTTCAATTTTCAATTAGACAAATCTTACTCAATAGATTTATAGAAATTTCATAAATAGTTTCGAGGTTTCAACAAAATGATAAATTTGAAAATCATAATTACATAGTGTAGATATCACTATAGCTTAAATATTATATAATTATTTATCGAACTCCGATTCAATATCATCTTCTTTACCTAATTTGTCATCTGTGGCATCCGCTATAAAATCATCCTCCTCAGGTTCTTCTATTTCATTTTGAGCATTGCTAGTACTTCTTGTAGGTTATAAGATATTATTCTCCATCCATAACATTTCATTTTGAGCATTCCTAATTAATATATTGTCTTCAATATTCACCAAATTCGAAATTTTTACTTGAATTCATTGATGAAGGGAGATTAGATTGGGAGCAATCAACTATCACTGTTTTCCAATTTTTCTTTCGCAGC